TTTTTTTGCATAGATAAAAGAAAGGATTAAGCATCAGAGTCAGATCAAGTGATAAACTTTCAGAAGAAAATGATGAATATGTCTACTGGGAGCAGCGGAATGCAGCAATGTTCTATCTCTCACTGATTTTGTTTAAGGCATTTTATGAACACACCCACATCCACACCCACACAAATACACAAACAGTGGCCACAAAAGCAATGCCAGACCTTGCCTCTCTTTTCAGTCTCATTTCTAAATCGCTTCCATTGTTTTACATAACATAAATTCCTCTCTTTTGCCCAGTGGTGAAAGCTTACATAAATACTAAAACTTCAACTATTCCCGAGTTGAGTCTTGATGAACCTGCAGCCATGGGTTTGTTTGAATGCTGACATGTATTCTCTGTGCAGGTCTTTTGGGCCACTTTGGTGAATCCAATGGCAATAAATTCACTTGTGTTAAAAATTTTATCAAAATGACCATTTTAACACTCTTTATAAAAAACTTAAATAATTGACACTCTGGTTGAAAAGTTTCCAAGCTCAAAATATCTTTTGTTTTTTCAGTTTCTAGCATTCTGATGATATGCATCTATGTATACCTTAGGAATGCTTGGTCAGGAGATGAGTTTAACAGTCACTGAAAAGAAAATATGGTTATGAAGAATTGATTAATGGAAGAAATTTGAACTTTTTTCATAGTGTTACCACAAAATAATATTTGTGATATTTACATGTAAAGTATTTTATTGAGCTTAAGAGATAGAGTGAAAAAATTTTATTCATCATATTGGAGAGTAAAGATATGCATTATCCTTAAAGATAACAATCACTGCTAGTGTATAGTAGGTACTAGAGTAAATGGATACATGAATAGGATTAATTACATTGCTACCAAAGTGAAATTCAACCTTTAAAAATTTGATCAACTCCTTATGTAAAAATGTATATGGTTAAATGTTATATTTATATGATAGAATCTTTTAGCAAAGACATTGACAAATTTCTTCTTTTTGCCTATTAGAATATAATAAGAAAACTATTAATACATTAAGTATTGAAACTGTTTTACACTTTTTTAAATGGTGGAACACATGCATTTCTCTAGTATAATTCCCATGGAATCTGAAGATCTGAGATTACGTCTAAATATGTATTAAGGGAGCTGAAGTCTATAAATACTAAATAATTCTACTAGATCTTCTACGTTAGTGAGCTATTTTACTTGCTGTCAAATCTATTTCATTTAATTGCTCACAATCTCTATTTACTTTGATAATTTCTTAACAAAAATAGTTTCCTATATTAACAATTAGCAATTCTAAACTTCTTCATATATCATGAACTATGTTGAGTTTTCTCCAGAGACAGGATTTTGTTTGGGTTCACAGAGAAGCAATATGAAACAGTACATATCAGTTATGATTATTTTTCTCTTTCCTAGAGATCTGATAGAGAAATTAAATGAGCATGTATGTTTGTGAAGTCCAATTTTAGTTATATTTCAACAAAACAGAGCCTCCCTGGTGGCATAGGGAGCTGACCAACATGGCACAGCAGACTTTGTCTGTCTACTCCCTCAGTCAGTAGATCCTCCTGTTCTGCTCCCCACTGTGTCTATGGTGAATCTTCTTACTCCCTGTATCTTTGGCATGGACTCAAGTTCTTATATGCATAAGTAAATAAAATAAATCTTAAAAAAGAATATTCTTTCCTAAAACAAAACAGACACAAAGGAATTAGACGGATTTGATTGTTGTTGGCTAAAATGAAATATCAATTTTTAGATGTCTAGATTTGTTTTCCTTGGTAAATCACATTGTGAATAAGTGAGTAGCTAAGGTGGTTTTTAGACAAATTGTGGTGGTTATTAATTCTGAGGTATTTAAATATAATAGTGGTAAAATACATAGCTTAAAACATGTTTAATTTATTTTTCAGGAATAACTTAGTATGTCCTCGTATACCTTAACCTGATATAACTATGCCATATAACAAAAAATTTTGCTCAATAATACTATGGTAGAAATTCAATGCTATTATTAATATTATTATGTTGTTAGAATACTAAAAAAACACACACACACATATGAAACTCAATGAATTCTTCCCCATAATGTCTCTTCTTCAAGAGACTGTCTTTCAAAAATTGTACATATGAAAGAATTAGAAGAAATTATACTTTTATTTTTAATCATGGAATTTCAAAGTGACCTGTTTGGCTATTCTTGCCATTATAGAGCATCTCAATATTTCACTCAAATTACACTTTCTCAAAACTAAGAGCAAAAAAAGCCTAAAAACATTTTCATCATAATCAGTTGCATTGAACATGGCCATGTAAGAAAAAGTAAAAAACTGTATTCTTTAGTGATTAAAATTTCTTCTTTGGTCTGTGCCTAGGTTTGAAAAGGAAATGACCAGCAAGTGGTTATGTCTCTTTGAAGGAAGTGGGGTACCTTATGGTCCAATCAACAGCATGGAGACTGTATTTGCGGAACCTCAGGTTTGTTTGTTTTCATAAGTTTTTAGTATGTTTTGGCTAAAAATACAAGAATTTTCCTCTTTCTTTTATCTAGATTTTTATCCTAAAAAATTGAAATGCAGACAGTTGAGAGGCCAGGGTCAGACACTTGGAAATCATTCTCAGCAGAGAGAAATATGAGAACTTCCACAGTTGTATAGTCTAACACTCATTATATGGCTATCTTAAGATGCACAAAGCAAGTCATATTTAATTGTGCAAATGAGAAGCTTTTATATGCTTTGACTAATATGCATTATTAACACATATACACGAAGAATTATATTTCAATAGACATTCTTGTGTGTATTGCTTATAAGTTCCTATTAAGACAAAGGAATGGTATCATCTAAAAATAAATTTTTCCTATGATATGATTATTTTTAGATGATGTTAAGATGGTTAAGTTTGGCTTTATTGCTTTAGTCAATATCACTGTAAGCAAGTAATTAATTATTTCTCAGATACATTTATTAATCCCCAAAGGTCAATGAACTCACCATTTTTATTCATGTCTGTTTTATTATTGTCAGTTTTCAAAATTTCAGAATTACAGGACTTTTAAAACTTGTTTTTATTTATATCATCGCAGATCATTCTTTAAAATGAGTTTTTGAAAATAAACCACTTTTT